CAAAATTCTTCAATTCTTCTTTATTATAAATGCCAGGGCCTAAATTATCCATATAAATTTCTTTAAAATTTCCATTAACTGTATAGACCCATAACAAATGATCTTCTACTCAAAGGAACTTTAGAGTAAGAAACTAAAATGATGAAAATATCAATAAAACATGTCTCAGGATAGCTTATTTGGCTAAAGGAGGGAATATAGAGTATAGAGAAGAGAAGATTCAGGTTATACCAGGCAAGAGGAACCAATATTAGTTTCTACAGTTCTAGAGGAAATTACAGGGGAACAATTTCAACTTAAGCAATGTCCAAAGACAAATTGCACTGCCTTGATAGACAATGAGCTTCCCATCACTAGAGGCAAACAAGTAGATGTTTGATTCACAATATGTCTTAAGTGAGAGGCATTAAAATTCATACTCTTTAAGATTCCTTCCAACTATAAAACTCAGACTGTATTATTGTGTCTTGTTATATTTTATATTGCCCAAGTCACATTATAGATACACAATATAGTCCAACTTTTCTCTGGGATCTAATTTTCCCATCTATAAAGTAACGACTTTTGGACCAGATATGTCCAAGGTTATTTCCAACATTCAACAATTCTGTGAGTATATTAGTGCATGAAATGTGATGAAATAGGTCCGAGGCTTGGGAATAACCTGCATCGGAAGAGAAAGACTGAACCTGGATGATACCTGCTGGAAAATGGTTGAATGCAGATCCCAGGTCCTCCTTCTAATTTCAGTCTGGTTTGATGCCCAAACATCACTCACATTGGTCCTTGTTTTTTTTGTCTTTATAACTGTGGGTTTTCCCGTTGTTGACGCTTCATCTGATCTGTTTCAGGATACGCCAGACTAATACACGCATCCGTAGTAAAGGGAGGTGTAAGGAGAGCGGCAGCCCGGGTGCCACATCTGCCAGCATGCCCACACCTGTAAGTACACCGGCCTCCGTGATTATGATGCTGGGAGCAGTTGGTTCTGCTTTGATTTTCTTGCACTGGGCGATGGACATTTCTCTCTCCAGAGAAGTGATACTAAGTCAGGTGACTCCAGAATTGGCCACAGTTTCACTGTGAGGATAATTAACTAGTTATTGAAATATGTGGGGATGATAATATGGCAGTTAACATTTTAAACTGTTTACTGGGCTCATTAATAGATTGTTGAAGAGGAAAGTCTCTAATGTAACATTACTTATTTCAGGGTAGGATTTTGTTCTCTGTGGTCTACAATAAAAAGATGAGACAGAAACCAAGAGAGGTCAGATGGTGACAAAGCTGGATTTAAATCATTTCTGTGTAACACCCGTATCTTTGCACTTTTACATTGCATTACATTTTTTCCTGATCTTTAAAGTTGATCTATTTCGTTAAATCCCCTACAAGGATATTTCAACACATGTTACTGAGTTTGACATTCTCCCTGGTGAATGTATTTGAGGAGTCTCTTCCTCAGGCAAGATGGTATGTCACTTGAAAAAACAGGAATTTTCAAATAAGAGAAAACATTTTACAATAAGATAAATACGAGTTCAAATTCCAGTTTTTGATGTTCTTCAGCTACAAGACCTTTGGCAAATCACACAAATATTTTAAACCCAAGATCTCAATGAACTATGAAAATATTCAGGAAACACTGACTTTTAAGCATCTGGCACAGTGTCTGAAAAATTAGTGGTATATTTTCC